AACATCCTTATTTGCGGTGGTATCCTGTGTGAGAGCGACCATCAGTGTCCAGGATTCCAGAAATGCTGCCCTGCTTGTGGAAGCAAGCTTTGTTCCTATCCAATCTTTAAGTGTGGGGACAGTGAATGTAAACCTGGTGAGAAAGCCTTTTTTTGTACAAGTGTTTCTCAAAGTGGGCATTTGATTCTAAAGGGGAGCCAGCTCGAAAATTGACTCTTCCATAGTTGTGTTACATAGGAAGCGTAAGAAATATAGGGTGCAGAAGTAGAAATATAGGGTGCACTAAGCCTTTCTAAAAGAACCCAAAAAAAAAAAAAAAAAAAAATTGGGAAACACTGCTTTATACTCACATAATCGTCTTTATCATCATCAGGTAAAGTGCCACTGAGCGTAGGCTGTCATTTTGTCCAACCTCACACGATTAACAGAACCACAGATATGTTGATACCTTTAGTAGTTTGCCATTGCCTCGGAGCGGTCGACTATCCACACAAAAGTAACGTTCTTTAGTATAGGTATATAATTCGTATCAGGTCATACACAAATCACCAACGAACTCTAAAACGTATTTTACACGTCAAGAATTAGTTGCGAGTCCTGTTAATGGCACCATAAATTAACCTCAAAATTCATTAGCCCCCAAATTTTTTTTTTCAATTTTATATATATTATTATCTCATTCTGAAATCTTAATCTGACAGAAGATGTAAGAGTGTGCGGGCTAAGTTTATCAAACAAGATCATAGAACAACAAATGAGATGGTTTGGCCACTTGACGAGAACGCCCCGGTACCAACTGCCACAGGGAGCCACAATTGAGAAATATAATGAACACAGAGCAAGGGGAAGACCACGCAAGAGATGGAGCGACATCTTCAGGAGCCACCTCAAAGAAATGATCACTAGCTTGTACAATTCATTGGGAAAAGCGGACAAACGATGATTATATCTCCCCCAAAATCTCGCTGAGGTAAATGGTGGAAAAGAAGAAGAAGAACATAATACGCAGTTAAACACAGTATTGTAATTATTATTATTATTGCTAGTAAATAACTCGTTGCCTTCAACCTTTCAGCTTAAAAGATCAGGTTAGGACAAAAGTCTGTTTGTCACCACTATTATACATCTGGTATGTTTTACTGCGAACTTTTACATTCAGTTGTTTGCCATAAAAGTCGTTTTTCAATGTCTCCTAGATTCCCGAAGCACAAAAAGAAATAAAAACAAACACCATGAAGAAGAAGAAGAAGAAGAAGAAGAAGAAGAAGAAGAAGAAGAAGAAGAAGAAGAAGAAGAAGAAGAGAGGTTAATTTGTCAAATCTAGAGCTAGACCTGTATATGATAGACACATCGGCACTTGGAGGGGGATGTCATGTGATCAGCACAACGCTATTTGTTAGATTTTTTTAAAAAGTAGAAAAGTAAAGGACCCTTTCCCACACCTTTCATGCGTATTGGATATACAGGGCTAATCTAAATAGACACACTTGACCTTCCGATCCGCAGGCGAACGTCTAGCCGCTAGACCATGGCGGATCTCCATGTGAGGACATACTAAATTAAGTTTGCTGGTTATCAAAGAATTGAAATTCTGTGGTGCGTCTTAGGTGAAATTTGCGTGCTAAAGCCATACCCGTGTGCTCCGGGTAAATTTTGCATTCAGATTGTTATTGAAACCTGCGTCCCTGCTGACTGTGGCAAATGTAAATACAACGAAGATTGTCGGGAAACATCTACTGGGTAAGTGGACAAACTAGTATTTTCTCCACTGTTACAGTACAACAGATATGTTATGTAAATGGATACAGAGTTATTTTCTCAATGTAACAGTACAATATCAATGTTATAAAAGTGAGCAATCTGATATCACTGTAACAATACAACAGCATTGTTAAATAAGTGGACACACCCCCAATATTTACAATACAAAATACTCTGTTATGTGTTTAGACTCAATGGTATATTCCCACTGTCACAGTACAAGGGCTGTGTTATATACGAGATTACACACATTGGTAATGTAATGCTGTTAGTATTATATAGGGAGACACTAGTATTTTCCGGTTGTAACAAAACAACAGCTATATTATTTATATCTACACACCTATGATAGAAATACAAATGTTGAATGGTGAATTATGAATCGACATAACAGAACTCGGGATACTCATTTAAGCGCTCCATACCGATTTCCAGCAGCAAGCAAAGAGTTCCAATACCGATGGAACCAAAAATGTCTGATTGTGTACCCATCTCACCTTTCCCTAGAGTGTCGAGCGTCGGCCAGATCCCCTAGTTACTCCTCGCAGCGCCATTCACCGCAGGCCGTAACGATCTATTTGTGCCCCCACACTATTCACTCGCTATAAATTTTGGTCCTCAAAACGTCTAACTTGTCAGACATCAGTTCATGCAGAACCAGCTAGTCTTAGCCTGCTCATTACCCAACACACAGGAATAACCTGGTGAATATATCAAAAGGACGCTATCAATCCTGGAATTTTGAAGCGATCCTTCACGGAGCAACCTGTCTTTACCCTTCTCAGCATGCTCTGTTAGTGACGATTAGGACGTGCGCTTCTATACTTATGTGAGGAGCTCTCTCTCTCTCTCTCTCTCTCTCTCTCTCTCTCTCTCTCTCTCTCTCTCTCTCTCTCTCTCTCAGTTACTGGCTGTCTACTTTAACAAAAGCCAATCGTTATAACATAATTTTACTATTTAAAAATACATTTTACGGGTAACTCCTGCTTGTAAATTCGTGTTGCTCAGACCCTCCTTCCACAGTGCGTGGAAAGGACGGGAATGGTAACATTAAAAGCAGTAACTAACATAATCATATCTAAAGTAATGTAAACGAAAAGGATTACCCTGACTGAAGTTTACTATTAATTCCTTTATTTTTTCTGAAAATTGTTTTATCCAAGATTCGATTGCTCAGAGCAATAGCTATTAGTACATTTACAGCTGAATATGAAAGAAAGATAGAAACATTAGAAATGCGATGTTTCAGAAATGTTTTTTTTTTTGCATATCATACAGAGACAACATTACAAACGAAGAGCTGAGCCACAAAATTATACAGCACATTGGCAATAATGAACCTCTTTAAACTACAGTGAAAAGGCTTAAAATGCAATGGTATGGTCATGAAATAACATCCAATGGCCTCTCAGAAACAATGCTGTAGGGCTCAGTAGAGGGAAAGAGGAGAAGATACAGAGCAAGAAAGACCTGATTACAGAAACTAACTGACTGGACAGGCTTCAGGTATGCAACCATGTTGTCAATCGCAACTGACCGCCAAAGGTGGAGCGAGTTGATCAGAACGTCAACAGAAACTGGTGACCCAACCACTCGTTGTGTTACGGGTGATGATGATGATGATTCTTAAAATTAGGTAATCACTACGAATTTATTCAATTGCACAATACTGAGACATATATTCAGTTAATCAGAATGTTATTTTCTAAATTCTATTTCTTTTCTTCTTCGTAACCCCCCCCCCCCTCCGCCCCCTCTTTTCCCCTTCCCGGTGTTACAAAGCCCCTCTCGCCCAGTTTTCAAATTTGGATCGCCTAGCGCTTTCAGGGGGCGGTAGTGACCACTTTGGGAAGCACTGTTCTAGACAAAAGTCTTATATGGTGCTTGAGGCAGACATAGGAATCAAAATTCATTGTGATGGTGAGGGGGAAGTTTCGCTTCAAGATTATTCTTTAACAATATGAGGATAGGATTTCGAAACCATTAAGGCAATGTGGTGTAGTTAAGATGCTTATTGTCAGACGCTCAGACGCTCAACAAGTAAATTATATGTGATCGCTTTCTCTTTTTCCCTATCTCCGTCAATCTATGTGCATTGAAAGCCAAGACTAGCGATAGAAAGGAAAAAAACTCATCAGAGTGATGTTCCTTGCATACAATACTGGAACTACGACCCAGTCAGTGAAAGAGCTGCAAGACTTATTATCTGCTTTCGCTTATGCATGTCAACAACAGTTCGCAAAAATGGACAAAAACATTGAGCGACGAACTAATAGGGGCCTATGATTTCAATCATTTTATTAATGCATATTATATATCATACTGTTAAACACGTTTATGGTGTTGTTTTTTTTTTTACAGCTATAAATGCATTCCTCCCGTTAACTGATGTCTTTATGGAAAGATCTTCCTTGAAATGATACATAGAACTGCAAAGGGAATCTGTTTGGAATTCGACCATGTTGTAGAAAATGAAATTTTCGACTATCTTTAGATAATCTTGAGTAAAGAGACCAGCTGATCTACATCCGCACTTTTTTCATGTTAGTTGAATGTACCTCAAAGTGTACTGTAGTTTCTTGGCTTTCAGGTTGCAACCTTACTTTTGCAACTTTTCAGTAGTGTATCTTTAAATTATTATTAGTATTCGTGATATCAGACTAAAGTTACAACGCTGCAAATTTTTTATTTGATTGATTAAAACTTATTAAGTAACAGGAAACTAAATATGTGTTTTTTTTTTTTTTTTAATCAGTAGCACTTTACATTTTTTGTGTGTTTCATTCTATTGTTATCATAACCCCTGTAAGCTATTTGCGTTTTTTAGCGTCTTTTGACCATTATATATTATCTTTGAATTTCCTAAGATAATGTTTACAAGTATTAAATAACAACTACTTCGTTTAGAATGAGAGGGAGAGAGAAAGAGAGAGAGAGAGAGAGAGAGAGAGAGAGAGAGAGAGAGAGAGAGAGAGAGAGAGAGAGAAAGGGGGGAGGGGGGTTACCTTGGCTGCAAAACAGAACCGAGAAGGTTGTAAATTGTATTTCCCATTAAATTATTAGAGTTACTTAGAGTCTTGTAGTTGACTTTATTAAAATTGCACGTGTATCCAGCTGGATTTGGGTTGTTATTTTAAATTATGACAGCTTTTGTATTTAATAATTGTTATTGTTCAGATGTAAAAATTACGGGTTTCTTAATTAAAATGTCTCTGGAGGCTGAAAGGGGTGTCTAGAATCTGTCTTGTTGGTCTACCATCATTGTTGAGATTTTTGAAATCTTAGGATGGCCTGGCACAGCTTTATGTAGCAGACTTAAGAGGACAAACGATCGATTAATCGATAGATAACTGGATGCGTTACTGAGCGTAAAAAGGCTATCTCTCTCTCTCTCTCTCTCTCTCTCTCTCTCTCTCTCTCTCTCTCTATCTATCTATCTATCTATCTATCCTCTCTCCTGTGTGTGATGTGTGTGCGTTCTAGAAAAGTGAATTATTCATTGAGAAAACTGTAAGTCCTTTTGATTTCACTAACGCTTCTGAAAGATTCAGATATCTAGCTGGTTTGCTTGAATGCAAGGCCGTATAGACATCTTTGGAGATGATATCAACCAACTACCCTGTTTTTATCTCATTACATCAACCAACTACCCTTTTTGTTATCTCATTATATCATTCAACGACCCTGTTTGTTATCTTATTACATCATCCAACGACCCTGTTTGTTATCTCATTATATCACTCAACGACCCTGTACCGTATCTCATTATATCATTCAACGACCCTGTTTGTTATCTTATTACATCATCCAACGACCCTGTGTGTTATCTCATTATATCATTAAACGGCCCTGTTTGTTTTCTCATCACATCATCCAACGACCCTGTTTGTTATCTCATTTTATCATTCAATGACCCTGTTTGTTATCTAATTACATCGTAAACGAGCCTGTTTGTTGTCTCATCAAGCACCAACCGATTCACCGCACAGAGGCTGAAGCAATACCACTCCATCCCTTAATTTTTCTCTTTTCAGGGGTGTGGAGGAAGAGGCGGGGAGATGATGACTAAACACAGGTAGTAGTTAGTTTGCGTATTCTTTACAGGACGTTGCAGAACCAGCCCAGCATGCTTTGGCTGTTGTGGTTTTTCTAAGCAAATTTACATCCAGTAGTATGCCAGTCGGTTTCTTAACACCACTGTCAAAACCAATGCAAGGCACAGGGCCCGCAGCTGGGATTGAACCCGGCATCCCGGCATTACAAAGCGCGTTCGCAACGCCTAAGCCACAGACGCCGACGACCAAACATGGTACATTCGAAAAGAACCAAGCAGCCCTATCCCAAACCTAGTAAGATGTGATCTATATGTAGTTTAACCAGCGACTAACCTACTTACTATTTCAACTGTTTTTAAATTGTCATTTCCTAAAGCCCAGTGAGGGCCTGAAAAGTTAAAAACCCTTTCATGAGATTCGGTAACACAATAAAAATGAAAACAGTGCATTTATTTTACTGCAACCATGTTCCCTGGCAAATGATATGAGTGCTTGGTAGCCTTGTTGCCAGGTGTTACCAGCCCACTTTAATTTTCTTAAAGTTCCTTTACAATATGCTCCAGCATGGATTAAACACAGCTATTGTCACAGATGTTTACTGGCTTCAACAGTTCACAAAATACGCACTTCAAAAGAAGCACAAGAAGAAGACATTGACGGCTGAATAATTATCATTCCGGCTTTTAATTCAGCACCAGCGAATATACAGACAAATGTAAAGTAGTCGGAGCAAATCTGGGTTGAAAATCTCCGCTTATGAAATGTAAATGAGACAGCGATAACATTCGTGTTTTGTTTTGATGTTGGTGTTTTGACAGTGAATAGATGTCGAGGTTTGTTTTTCTTGTATGGTATATTTTATTCATTATCCTTTTGTAGTGTTTCTACGACGTCAAATATTATATCCTGTGTGATCTATCGGATATCCTGTACGGAATAAAGTCAGGCACATCTATCCAAGCTTCGGCATTGCGAGTCCGACTCGTAATTCAAACATGCTGCGATCAAAACCCACTGCTGGCTGCGTGGAAATTTTAGAAATGTATGGGGCGTCCCAGGTCGACTAATCCTAAAATGGGTACTAGGATGTATGTCCGGGGGAAGCAAAGACAACCCGCGTGAGGCTGACCATATTATCCACCTAGTGTTGATTAGTCTGTAACCATGTGGGTGCTCTTCCTATAAACCCGATGCGCCTGAAGGCGTGAAAAAGCTTGTTTACTTTACGTACTTTTACATCTATCCAAGGGCGCCGGAACATTGTGGTCTGGACACTTTGACATCCTTCCCTGCCCAATAGTGTCCACCAGACTAGTGGGCAGTTAAGCTGCCCCTCTTCTTGATTATGCATTAAATTCTTGTTTTAATTCCCTCAATTAGAGAAAATCGACTTCATTGGACCCAGTTACATCCCAAATTGTTCGGCTACACACAAATCACGAAGCCTGCATCCCCAGTGACAATCCTCACGGATCTTCCCAAACACTGAACTCGTGAAGCTATCGGTGCAGCGGTGAAAGACCAATGACCCTCAGAGCGCGAGGCTAAACGGCATGACCACTTCGCTCCCGAATCTATATCTGTGGCGCAATAGGCTAGTCCATCCAGTTGTAAATAGAAAGGTTAGGATCAAGCCCACCCAAGGAGGCAGATATATTATATTGTTTCAGATATGGTATTATACCCACCTATTCAGAACATTATTATTATTAGGCTTTTACAAAAGGCTACGACTTCTCAAGGGCATTTAGAAAATATGAGAAGAGATGAGCCCATGCCTATCCCTACTTCCACCAACATGACTTTTACGTTGGGGTCTTTGCCTCTATCGTCTCTTATCAACACTTGGCTAGAGTTTTTTTAATTTTTTAAGTACTCCAAATCTATGTTTATTTGTCTTCCATATCTAGAGCCTGCATTATTGTTGTTTAACTCCTTATATCCTATCCAACATATGTTACTGTTGCCGTTGTTATTTTAACCCCTACTTAAACTGTAACCAGTAGTGATAACCTATGATGGTAGGATAGGTTTAGGATAGGTTTCAACAACGGATCAGCATCATGGCAAAGGGAAGTAATCCATAATTGCTCCATTCTACTTTTAACTCAAGCCTGAGTCCGAAGAATCTCAGCTCAGTGCACAAACTCCGTATCACCGGCGAGGATTCTAAAATATTTTGGGTAGTTTTTTAACTCAAAATTGTGCTCAGCGATCACCGTTTGGATACTGCCAAAAGATGTTTTTTACGTAGCAACAATACAGACGGGCGTACGATCTTAGTACACAGAGACCAGGGAGGGAAAATTACTAGAGGTCAACGTGGAAAAATCACAGCGTTCACCGGGGCATGAACCCGGATCCTCCAGCAGTCGAGGCGGACAACATGCATGGAGACCACCCCCCCCCCCTCCCCCCCCCCCCCCCCCCCCCCCCCCCCCCCCCCCCCCCCCATCCTATGATGAGGCTAAGAGAAAAAAGAAAAGCTCTTGTAAAAATTGGTGAAAATCAGAATTTGGCAATCTTCAGACGTATGTATGTATATTCGACGGTCTTAAATTAAAATATAAACAGAGCTGAATGTTTTTAAAATGACACTTGCTTCTAGGTAGATACAGCATAAAATGGGTACCAATTAACATCCTAGGAGGTAAAGGCGGCCGGTGTGGTGTTGACCACATTATCTAAAGTTTGCGATTGGTCTATAAAATGTTGGTCTAGCATTATATGTCTAATACGCATAAGGACGTGAAAAAGGGTCTTTGCCTTTTATAAAGTGAACAAGGAAGAATAGTATATATCCATTCAAGATAAAAGCTGAAATACCACTTGTCTGATAAAGCTGGAATACCTACTGACCTAGATTAGACACAGTGTTATATTATTGCCAGACATTTTTTATATGAGTTGTTTCTGGAGGAAAAACGTCGATATATTGGACCTGTTCACACCATCTTAGAAGTCGTTGCCTCAAATATGAAGGCTTCAAGCTTTGTACATTAGCCCTAGCATTTGCAGTAGGACTACTTTTTTGGAAGCAAATGGAGATTCTAGGACTACTTTTTTGTGTGTGTGAAGCAAATAGAGATTCTAGTGGCTGAAAGTGATCAATTGGTATTGAAGGAGATGTAAAATTACGGCAAAGCATTTACTCCAACGTGCACAGCTCTTGCAGAATAGATAAATCAGTACTGACCAACACCAAAACCTTATGTGGACAAATTATGACTCTACCAACAACTTATTATTTCGGTGAAGGAATATATTTTAGGACTGCAGACATTATCTCTTATCCAAATAGAGAAGTTGGGACGCATACAAAATGGAGCCATAGGAGTTATGTTTGGGGGTGTACACGAGATACG